TTATCATATAAATACACAACCCGTAAATACATAAAGCGAATTAACAGATCGTCATCATTTTAAAACATGTAATAATACAAATTTTGATTTGTTATAAATAATACCAAATATTACTTTTTTTTCTTGAACTTCTTCAAAACCGACGATGATTGAGGAAATCAATTTCCGGTTTGGTAACGAACACTTCTTCTTGTTACTCACTTTAGAAATTCAATAGTCTTCCCTCTAAGAGTATCCACCTTTTGAAATCCAACTTCGAAAGATAATTTCTTCGCTAGTAGAAATTACTCGGTTTTTCAAACAAGTATAGGAATATATATTTGAGGAGATTTACAAGAACTTTTCTAGATCAAACTTAGCCAAAAACTTAGTTGTTATGAACATAAACTATGTCCATATTTATAGCAAAATATTAAGAATAAAATATATATGTCTTGTATAACTTTTACAAGAAATGTAAAAAAATTCAACTTTAACTTTTACAAGAAATTTTAAAGAATCCTTTATCTCTTATTCTTATAAGAAAAAATGAGAGACATTGTGTGCTTGACACGTGGCATTTTTTTAGCTTGCCATGTTCAACCACGTGGCTGCTGCCATTCTAATTCCCTCATCATTTTTTTTTTTTCTGGTTTCAAAATCCAATATTTTCTTTATTGGGCCAAACAAAACGGCGACGTTTTATTAGTAGATGAGTTGGATGGGTTTTAACTTCTCAAAATGTCCCTGCTTTATTATATTTTTTGGGGTTACTGTGGTAAATTTATTTCCTCTTCTTAATTCTTAAGCAACAGATTTCCTGGGCTTTGTGACACGCCACTGCACCTCCTCATGTTGTCACTTCACCTTAACAATTCTCCTATGCATATCCCAAACACTTCTTCCTCCCATCATTCCCAGCAAACCAACCTCCAAATTCCGCAAGCTTAACAAACCGCCGACGCCGAAAGTCCTCTGCTACCTCAGACCCACCCCGTGGTCCCCACGCTCCGACTAGCCGAAACCCAGACACAAAAACTCTAAGGATCCGTTGTCCGACGACTACGGGCCCTGACGCGGAACATCCGATATTTGTTCTGTTTGTAAGTTTTGTCTGAAAATACACACAACTTACCTCTGTGGTTATACTTAGCTTTCTGTCCGCACAAGAAAAAAGAACACATGCATCTTCATCATCCTTAACATTTTGCTTTCTGTCGCGACACGGGAAGATAACTCTCATACCCGCTTCACTAAATACACTCTTGATACCAGAAACTTTGTCTGGTTGAGACTCTTTACGGCTGCTTTTACTGGAACCATCAATCACAACACGGTTTCCTGGAGATATTGGAGATGAAGTACACTATAAAGAGTTATTTTCTCTCTTAATTTATCCATATGAGATCCACTGCGAAAGACTGGAACCTCAGACAATGCAGTTTCAATACTTTCATGTTTTCTTTTATTTATAGAGACAAACTAGTTGAGTGACATCTGTACACTACTCGAATGCCTAAGTGGACTAACTCTATTACATCATCGTTCTGGATTGACCTTGACTGGAGAATGTCATGTTTGTAAGTTTTGTCTGAAACTAAATCTATATTTTCCTCGTCATGACTTTCAGAATATTTGTTCTTCTCATTACCACGAATTCCAAGTGCATACTACTGTTATCACTGAACAAGCCCCATCTCTCTGTATCAACTACTCACCAAAATCTCTTGTGTAATCTTGAGCTGTCACCGGAATGCCATTATTTTTTTTTTTTGGTCATCCTTTTCATGAACTACACTTTTGTCCGGAATTAAGTGCTTTGTAAGCCATTGAGATTTCTCCTATGTAGAATACATATCGGAGGTGCGCGTGTCCTTTTGAAGAGGACGGTTGTTTTACTTTCAAGATTTGGGCATGGAGGAATGAGGGTTGGTCCCTTGTGTTGATGTTCGTTGTCCCTGCAGTTGTTGCTCCTCGTGGGGTGGTGGGACTTTAAATTAAAGGTGACTTTTTGGTTTACGATTATGCTACCAGAGACTTGAAGAACCCGAAATGGCTTCTTTGTTATCGACATTTTCTCACATTTTTTTTAGCCTATATCTGTAGTCACACTTATCTGCTTAGGGACAACAGAAAAATGATAGCAATAAGGTTATATATACGTTCAGGTTGTGTAAGTTAAGCTTTGCAAATGAAGTTGAACTCGAACTGAATCTGTTTCTTTTGTGTTATGTTCAGGTATTTATCAACTTGGTTCCTTTTTGATTTGTGCTAAATAAGTCTACTTCATTTCATGCACATGCTCTTTACGGACCACAATGGCGGGATCGATTTTGACCTGTTGAGCATGCTAAGGCTTTGGCGGCTTAGGCGAGTCAGCTCACTTTTCAGAAGGTGAGATTATTTTATCATTTTTCAATATGTTCAAGACCTTTAAAAGATCTTATCAAGGATAAAGCTGTTTTTTTGCTTATGTTTGGTTCAATTCCCTTGAGGTTCAGTTCAGTTAACTACTTTTACATTGTAGGCTCGCAAAGGACATACCGTTCATTTACTTCTGGACTCGCAGTACAAAACTGATATCTGTGAGTCTTTCCGAGTCGTTTGGTTCATTTTATTCTTATAAAATCCTCATGTTCATCAAATATTACATCAAGTCTCCTGGATGGAAAATCAAGTGGCTCTATTTTCTGTGCATTGTGCTGGGTGTTTCAATTATATGGTTGCCGACAGATACCTGGACCCAAGACGAACCTTGATAAGGGCCGTGTATCCGAATTTCAATCAAATGGGTCTTTGGGACAGGTACGCGGCATTGTATTGCATGATTCTGGCGCTGACTACCACAGGTTACGAAGAACTGCATGCTGAGAATCAGAGAGAGATGGCATTTAATATTTTGTGCATGATTTTTAACCTAGGATTGATTTCTTACATTATAGGCATCATGGCGAACCTCGCGGTTCCCTGGAGCTGCCGCATGAGCGATTTCGTATGATCTCTTTCCCTCATTCGGTATCCTTTTTCTCATAAAGTTTATCAGGTATTAGCTTTTAAACAATAACATGTTCGACTTGGTGGTGCAGCGGGAAATATTATCGGCTGCTTCAGAATTTTCTAGAAAAAACTGCTTGTCAAGCGATATTCAAGATCAAATTCTATAACACATATGCCTCAAGTACAAAACACAAGGATTAAAGCAACAGGAATCCATAAACAGCCTGCCCAAGGCCATTTGTTCGAGCATTTCACATTATCTTTTTTACCATGTCGTAAAAAATGTCATCTCTTTAGAGGGACGCCTCGGGATTTCCTGCTACAGATGGTACATTTCTTAAACATGGTCATATTCTTTTGTTTATGTTTACTTTTTTTCATAATTTTTTTTTCATAATTATCGAGGTTTTTCATTAATGGAAGGTCCAAAAAATGGAAACTGAGTACCATCCTCCGAAGGTACACATGATCTTGCAAAACGAGACCCCCACGAATGCATATATATTAGTC